AGGGGTGTCCGAAATTGGTGTCGATGATGGTGACGATAACGGCGATGATGATGGCGACGATGGTGATCATGTCGATGATGACGATGATGATAACGACGATGATGATGACGACGATGATGATGACGGTGATGATCATGACGATAACGATGACGAAGATGCTGATGACGACGATGATGACGATGCTGATGATGATGCTGATGATGATGCTGACGATGAAGATGAAGATGACGATGATGATGATGATGATGATGATGATGCTGCTGCTGATGATGATGATGATGATGACGAGGAGGAGGATGAGGCGGAGGAGGAGAGGAGGGAGGGGGCAGCGGGAGGAGTTCAACGCGGGGCGCTGTCTCTTCAAAACGGGGACCCAACACAACAGGATGGTTGAGAAAGAAAATGCCCAAAAAATCGTCCCCAGACTATTCCTCTACTATTTGTAGATATTCCTCCTGCGGAGGGGCAGGCCCGACCCGCAGAGGCCCAAATCTGGGCATTTGCGGGCGCATAAGGCGCCGGCGAGGCCACACCAGCTCGGGGCGGAGGCCTGGGCTGGGCCCCGCGGGCCTGACCGAAGACTTGCCCAGGGAGCCCCGCAGGGCTGGGCCCAGGCCCCTGCCCTGTCCTCCTCCCCTCCTCCTCCTCCTCCTCCTCCTCCTCCTCCTCCTCCTCCTCCTCCTCCTCCCGCCCGTAGCCATTTTGGCTCAAGCCATTTTGGCTCAAGCAATTTGCGCCCAAGCCACAGCATGCTCCGGTGGCGCTTTAACGCTTCACGACCTTTCTGATAGTGTATCATGCCATTTGCCCCCCGTGGGCTCGCTTGCTGCCATGGCTTTGACTCTTGTGCAGTACAACTGTCTCAGCATGCGTCAGCATGGCCGCCTCCAGGATGTATGCGACGTGATGGCTGGCGCCTACATCATCGGCTTGTGCGGGACTCATGACAGGTTCGCCGGTCTCTCCACCACGTTCGTCGAGGTCACTGGATCCTCTTCTTCCTCCTCGTATGTTGGACTCAAGTTTCCCACTACTCGGGGCAGTTGCGCGAACTTATCGGCTGGATGTACGCTGTTGTTCCGGCGCGACTATTTCCCAAAGAATTCTTGGGCTCAGGTGTTGACTCCCCCCAAGCACTTGCAAGGTCGCTGCGGCGGGGTCCATATTCGCAGGCGCAATTTCGACCTTCTCGTACTTGTCGCTATCGCCCCTGTCTGTCAACCCTAAGTCCGACCACGGCCGACGTCTCGGAGCAGGTGTTCAAATGGTTGGGGAAGCAGCGCACTGTGTGCTCGGCGTCCCCGCGCTTCGGAGATCTGGCTATTGGACGCCAACGGGCACTTGGGATGGGAGCACGGCCGGGATCTGAACAACGTTCGTGTGCGATGTCCGCTCGTTCATCCTGCGTTTGGCGGCTTCAATCCCGCGGAATGCAATTTCAACGGCCACCAGTTCCTCTCGGCGCTTGGCTCGGAGATGCGTCTGGTGAACACGTTCCGGGAGTGCGGGCCGACGTATTTCGGGCCCGACAGCAGCACCAGCATCGTCGATTTCATCGCTGTGAGCTCTGACGTCTTTCCCTAGTTGGTGAGTACAGATGTGTGGCATGATGTGGGCGATGTCTTACAATTGATTCCTGATGTTGTTCCTCGCGATCACCGTCCTCTTCGCTGCGAAATCGACCTGCGCTTGGCGTTCACAGGCATCCCGAGGTCTTTGCACCATCTTCGACGGTTCTGGCACAAAGAGGCGCTTGTGGGGGGGTGTAAAATAGGTACGCACAAAACGTCCTTCGTCCAGGCGGTGGAAAACACGATTCAGGAGCACTGGCCCTCGCTCGTTTTGGCTGCGCGGGAGAGTGGCCCTGACGAAGTTGACCAGAAGCTGACCGACATAATCCTGAGCTCGGCTGCTCCACACTACGCAGCAACGACTTGGAAGAAGCCTTATGTCACGGAACCTGAGAAAGCAGCGATCGTTCAGCGCAGGTCTGCCCGTACTGCTGCTCACCGTCCTGTCCTCGCTATCTCCGTTCCTGCAGGTTGTCAGGATGGTTCGTTCAACCTTGGGTCATCACGGCGTCTATCCTGTGCGTGTGTCGCGCCACGTCCAGCCTTGCCGCTATTGTTCGCCTGGGCGAACTGCGTCGTATTTCCACGGCGACCCGCAATGCGCTCAAGGAGGGCGCGCGTCACCGACGTCGGGTACTCGAGGAAGATTGCCAGGCTGCTTGAGAACGGAGGGACTTTGCCACTGCTTGGACGTTATCCTTTCGTTTAGCTGGCCAGGGGGAGGGGCCGCGTCGACGTCGTTTTCGCCAGGTTCCACATTTTCGTGCAACAAGCCAGGACAAAGGGAATGGCCTCCGGCTTCCGGCGCAGGAGGGTGGTCTGAATGCCAGCGACGTCGACTGCGATGCCGTGCTGTCTGCTCGACGGTCTTCACGGCCCTGGGTCTTCAGCGATTGGATCCCTCTTGCACGTCGGGATCTCCGCGATGTTCGAAAAAAGGTTTCTCGTGCGGCCTATCGCCGCAGCGTGCCGCCGTGGGGGATCCCCAATGAACTTCTGCGGATGTTTTTCTCCCCACAGGTATCTACGTCTCGTGGCTCTGGTTTGGGATATCGTGCCAAAACTTCTGAATCAACTTGGATTGTAATGGCGTTTTTACTCTTACTCGCCCTGGTCCGGTTTCGTCGACAAGCTCCACTTCGCTGGCACTCGTCTTGGTTAGTCGAGATACCAAAAAAAGATGGGGCCACTGGCTGGGACGCGGCACGGGATCTTCATCTTTTTTGCGCTCCGCCTGGTGCTTACATGGCGATGTTGTGGGCCCGTGGCTCTCATTTTTTGGATGGAGATTATGCTACTGGCTATTCCCGCTGCCGTCGAAGGGAGGAGTCCATTGCCGCATCCACGTGTCTTGCCTTTCGCTTGCAATCCATGGGCCGTGGCACGTCCGAGCTGTTCTCTGACATGCGCAACGCTTTCTGTTGCCCTCACACGTCCGAGCTTGAATCGCACATTCAGGGAGCCTTCGTTTCTTGCCCGTTCGAGCACGAGATTTTCCTCAACGAGCTGGAGTGCGCTTTGGTCCGCGCTGACACCGCCGACGGAACACAGACGTGGTACTTGATTGGCTCTGGTGTTCGGATGGGGCACCGCGCTGGGCCGAAGTGGTTTCTCGGCGTCTTCCATCCCAAGATCGACCGGTACGTGAACAGCCTCGCCGAGCTCCGCATTATTTCGTCGCTGGAGCTTTGTGGCGTTGCGCGCCAGGCGGAGGTCGGGACCTCAACTTTTGCCGACGGTACCAAGACTACGCTGGTGGCCGACTCGTTCCCTACAGCTCTGTTTCGGTGCCGTCTTGCTTCCGAGCGACTGGACCAGGCTCTCTTGAACTCTACCGGCGTCCCTTCGATCGTGCAGCACAGGGGCAAGTGCGAGGTCGTCGTCAACTTTGTTGGCCCCTGTTCTCAGGGCGCTCTTCGTCGAGTTTATTATGATCCTTGTGGTTTTTCTGGACGGGTCGTTTCTGCTGCTAGGCATTTGGGTGGTTGGCGAAATATGCGGTGCAGCTTCAGTACCCTACGTGCGAAGAACATCGAGGCTGCCCGGCGCAACTCTGGCCGGTTTAAGCGATTCTGGGCGCATTCTACCCGTGAGTTTACTGTCCTTGCCTTCCGGGCCATGGTGATCGGTGCTACTACTTCTGGTTCTGCCGCTTATGTCCCTTCACGCACTGACCTTCGCATGATCGATGACGCTTGGAGCGACATGGGCCGTCGTGTCTTGATGACGCGTCTCCAGCAGCGTTCCCAAGGCCATCCCGTTGCGCCTTCCACCAAGGACGTTCGCTGGGCCCTCAAGTTCTCCGAGGCCGAGGTCGAGCTTAGGATTGAGCGCATACGGTGGTACCAGGTCATGTGTTCCACCCCTGGCAGGTTTGCGCAATGGATCTTGACAGTATTCGGGGAGATTGACGGCCGGCGCGTGCTTGACCCCCAGGGCCTTCTGCTTCCGGACGCGAGCCCATGGGCCAGACAGGCGTCCGAGGACTTTGATGCATTATCTTGTCATCCAGATTATGAGGATGTCGCTGCACTTTGTTGTCGTTATCCTGCCCATGCATTTTTCGACGAAGATGTTGCCGCACGGGTTCAAGGCATTGATCCTCGCGTTCTTCGTGCACGCACTCGCACCGTGGCCATTCCGCCGCCGGGGTACCTGGCACCTGCCCCTCGTCAGGATCGTGCCGCTGATCGCGTGGAGGCACCGTCTTTCGTTTGCAACCTGCCCGGTCTCGAGACGGAGCGCTGCGGCCGCAATTTTCTGTTGCTCGGGGCACTCCGTGCGCATCAAAATCAAAGTCGTCTTCCGGGTCATGGCGATATTGCTCTGGGCGCAAGGGCCACTGTTACAAACCAGTGTTGCGTGTGCATGTCAATTTGTTCTACCCGGCCGAACGCCCGCGAGCATCTGGAGGCATCTATTCGCCGAGGGTTCTGCTCTGGGTCTGGGAGTGTCTTTCGCCACGATATGGAAAATCCGGGCTACCTTGGGTGCCCCATCTGTGACGCAAAGGTTTTTACGACGCTACCATTACTTCAACGCCATATCCGTGTAGTCCATCTTGGCTCAGTGAGAGCTTCTCGCACGATTGGGTCTTCCACGCTTATCCCGGCTCTTGAAGCCCTGTGTGCCCGAATCGCCGCTCGCGAGCGGCTGCACTCTGCTCCTGCCCCAGCACGCGCACGTCCCGATGAGCGAGGCCTACAAGAACTTCCTGCCGAAGCCGAAGGAGAAGGAGGGGAGCGCCGCGAAGTCTGCGATGACCGAGACCGAGGAGCCCGACGCGGCCTCGAAGAGGGACGAGCTGATTCTCCTGGCGTCCGTGGCGGCGGAGTCGCGGAACCACGCAGCGGCGCTCTACCGGACGTGCCTGGTGCCGGGGGAGGTGGGCGAGGCGTTCTACGACAGGATGCGCGGGGCGGTGGGCGAGTACGAGAAGAAGGCCCGGGGCCAACGGGGCCACGGGCACGGAGTGCCTTGCCACCACGCGCTGATTGCCGCAGCGCTCATCGGGCAGACGCACTTTTCCGCGGAGGAGATGGGGGCGAAACCGCCCGAGTACCAGAAGATCGAAGAATTCCTGACGAAGTACGACGTGCCCAAGAAGCTGGGGAGGGAGGTGCTGGAGTTCAGGGCCTACGAGACGCGCGACAAGGGCCACCGTTTCCGGTTCCGCCTCGTGGAGGGGGGGGATCCCTTGGTCAAGGCAGTCGTGGAGATCATCGTTCGCGTGTGGATGCAGGCCGGGGGCGAGGAGGTGCTGGGGTCAGCGCCAGCGTCGAAGCGGGAGCGGAAGCTGCAGGCCCGCATTAAGCGGATGAAGCAGTGACCCGGCGGCGCATTGCTTTCCCCCTTGTCTCCTCCTCCTCCTCCTCCTCCTCCTCCTCCTCCTCCTCCTCTCCTTCCTCTGGGCTGGAAAAAACACAGGATCTTGTCGTAACGGCGGCCGCCTACTGACGAATGCCCCGCCAGATTTTAGTTCCCGTGCTCGGCGGGCATTTGAAATGCGGCCGAAGTGTCGCAACGCACACTTGGTGATCGCATGCTGGCGCAATTTCTATGCTCGCCAGTTGTACGCCCTTGTCGACGAATGCAGCGAGCGTGCTCACGGTGCGGCGCTGTCCTGCCCCTGCTTCACTCCGCCCCCTTCTTCCATTGACGCGCGATGTCTTGTGAGGGCGGCCAGCTGGGGCAGATTCAGCACTGCCGCGACCCAGGCCCAGCGGAGACGCCACGTCGGTGCGTCCCGCTGCTGGTGTGGGGCTTTGACCTGTCTACATAACGGGTCGCGTCGCTCACGTTGGCAAGCTTTGATTGGCGATACTTTATCGCGGCACTGCATATTCCTCTACATATCGATCGGCTTGCTGACTTCGAGTGTGTCGGACCGGACCGGACCTCCTCCTCCTGCTCCTCCCCCTCCTCCTCCTCCTCCTCCTCCTCCTCCTCCTCCTCCTCCTCTCCCCTCCTCCTCCTCCTCCTCCTCCCCCTCCTCCTCCTCCTCCTCCGCCTCCTCCTCCTCCTCCCTGTCCTTCCCCTACTCCTTGACCCTCTCCTGCTGCTGCCCTCACCCCCCTGCTCGCCGTGCGGATGCGTCGCGCCCACGGCTTGAAACGCCACCCTGCGCACGTTCGAGGCGTCCCACGTGTCAGGGTGGTGCGCTTCTTCGCGCACCATGACGTGGCCCCCAAGCCTCAGCTGGCGCCTCGAGCGGGGGGCGGGGGGGGGGGAGGGGCCGGGCTGCGAAGTGCGAGAGCGAGGGGGGCGGAGAGGGGAGCGACAACCAGGACAGCGGAAGTGGAAGTGAAAGGGGGGAACGAGATGACGAGGAGGTGGAGGAGGAGGGGGGGGAGCAGGATAAGGAGGAAGAGGACGATGTGACAAGCGGGCGACGGGAGATGTCACATAGCACATAGCACCAGCAAGTAGGGGGCGGGCTGTAAAGTGGAGGAGGTGGGGGCCGAGAGCGAGGGCAGGGAGAGGTGCGAAAGAGGCGGTGGGAGGAGGAGGACGAGGAGGAGGAGGAGGAGGAGGGGAAGGAGGGGAGGAGGGGGGAGGCGGTCCGGAGGAGGAGGAGGAGGAGGGGAGGAGGGGAGGGGGGGGGGGGCTGGAGGAGGGGGGAGGAGGGGGGAGGAGAGGGGATCTTCAAGATGAGACCTCCGACGGCAAACCCATGCCCGGGGCAAGTGCCCACCAAACGTTCGGTACACGCCAGGGCCTCGACGCCCAAGGCCTGCTGGCTGTCCCTGGGAGGGCGACGAACATCGGAATTCGGGGGGAGGATGATGGGATGAAGGAGGAGGAGGAGGAGGGGGGAGGAGGGAGAGGAGGAAGGAGGAGGAGGAGGAAGACATATCCGGAAAGGAGGCCCAGGGCTCGCATCGGATGACGGAGGAGGCGGAGGAGGAGGGGGGGAGGAGGAGTGGAGGAGGACTGAGGAGGGGAGGATAAAGGAGGCGACAGGAGGAGGAGGAGGGGGGGGGGAGGAGTGGTGGAGGAGGAGGGGGAGCTCCTCCGAGGCGGAGATCAGGAGGAAACGTCGGCAAGCGTGAAGACAGACGAGGATACGCGCAGGAGCGGCTCGCTCGGGAAGGCGTCGGAAAGAGCGTGGGAAGGGTGTCTGGTGGTGGTCTTCAGGGGAGGGAAGGGCGCGGGCCAGACGTCGGACGGCGGCTTGGAGGCGTCGGCGCGCGCGCGGTGGGCGTCGGGTGGTGCGTGGGTGTTGTGTGGGTTGGTGTGTGTTTGTTGGTGTGTGTTGTTCGTGTGTGTGTTCTGGGTGTTGGGTGGGCGTGTGTGTGTGTGTGGGGTGGGTTGGTGTTGGCGTCGTCTCTGTTCATGCTATTTTCCTCCCTGCAGCCTGTGCAGGTGCCCTGTCTAATGGTGGAGGTGGAGGAGCACCCGTGCGTGGAAGCGCGGGCGCGCACAGCCATCAACTGCTGCTGACGACTGCCTCCCCCGCCGAGGCCAAAAGTGATCGCCGAAATCGGGGCGGGCTTGGGCCTCGGCAGCTTGCGAGTGCCCCTCGCTACTACCGAGCACAAGCCCACACAGACAGCAACGTCTTGCGAATCTGGGAGTCCGGTCCAGACAGCATTGGGGAGCATGTTCAAGGCGCGCTTTAGCGTGGAACACTATCGTGCGATATAATGCACGCGTCTGTGGCCGCACAGCCACGCGTCTGGAAACTCTGGAAGAGCATCTCCTGCTTCCCCTTCAACTTGACGCAAAACTTGGAACTCCATTCTCAAGCTTCTTAATTGCCGCATACTTAGAACTCCATTCTCCAGCCTCTTGATTATCATTCGAAATGAGCAGGCGGAACTAATTAACACGCGACTTCGGGTCCGTCTTCGGCCTGGCAGGCCTCAAGGCTGCGACATCTCAGGAATACCCACTAGCCTCACATGGTAGCGTTGCACAAATCTGCGTGCCTCTCAACAGCCACCGAAACACCCGCCTCCACTGCCACCAGAGAGACCGCACCGTTTTGCACGCATCTCGGGGGACAAACCGATGGCGCACAATGACTGGCCGTGTTTGGCCCAGGCTACTCGGAGCGGCACCACGTGCCACACGAATGTGCCTGCCTCATCTGCCTCGGGCACCGACGGCAAAACACGCCCCACGCGTGTGTTTGCCTCGGGCGGCCGTTGGCACCGATGGGGTGCGAAGCGATGACCAAACATGTCACGCGCATGTGCTTGCCTCGGACGTTTGCCTCGGGCTGCCTGGAGCGACAAAACATGTCATGCGCGTGCGTTTGCCTCAGAATACCCGGAGCGACAGAACGTGTAACCCGCGCACACTGGAAGCGAACTACACCATCCTTGGGAGTGGAAAAAAAAAAAAACGGAAGCACGTGAGAGACAGAGGGAGCTACGTAGCACAAGCCTGAGGGGTTGGCTCATGAAAGGGGGTGCGGTCGCGGTCAAGACACGCAGCGGATCTTAAAGCACCATCCCGAGGGGCCGGAGGACGACGGCTAGGATGAATGCATCAACCGAATCGGGACGTGAAGGCCCGGCAAGCGTGAGGACCTGGAAAAAGGACAAAATAACGACCTTACCCTTGTCGTCGCGCCGGCACTGCAGCACTGAGGATGGGACGGCAAGGATGATAAAAAAGGGCAAAGAAACCAGGCTCCACCGATAGACAAGATGTGTCAACCGCTGTGGCGCCTTGCAGTAACTGTGCGGCGAGTGTCTTTGGATATCATGGCACCAGCAAATTCCGGTGCGTACCCAGTGCGGGGGGCTTCCCACGGAAGGAGGGGGAGCGGAGAAGGCTGTTGACGGTAGGGATGACGATGAAAGAGGGGTGAGCGGGAACTGGGGAGAGCGGAGAGGGCTGGTGACGGATAGGGATGGGGAGGATACTGTGGACGAAAGAAACGGACTGTCCAAGGCCAGTAATCAGGTGCACAACTGTCGCCTTGTCGTCTTCAAACTACTTAAACTGAGAGCTCGGACAGCAGGCTGGCCACGCAAGCTGTGGACTTCGAACGGCCAGCGCTTGTTTTGGGCCAGCGCCTCTAGTCTTCCAGCACTTCGAATAGTCCGCCAGGGGGATGGCTCTGGCGCTTGCCAAGCAGACTAGCGGGGAGAGAGGGAGGGGAGAAGAGGAGGAGGAGGAGGAGGACGAGGAGGAGGGTCGGGTCGGCCCAGCTTCGTGGATCCATGAGGCTTCGTGCCTGCGCAATCATGATGAGCACGCGCCTTTGTACCTAGACACCCTCGGGCACCCTTGCTGACGAACGCACAGCGATGCCTGTCTCGGCGCTGCGAGCTGGCACCCGCGAGGGAAGCAGCATTCGCAGCTGAGCAGTGGGGCCTGACCTGAGTGGATTACCAGGCGCTGTGACTGGGTCGCGGCAAGAAGGGCGCCATGGGCCCTGAACCCAGTCAGTCCGGGCCAGAGGCGGCGCCGAGGACCAGCGGCGGTGCTGGTCCTCCTCCTTGTCCTCCGCCACGAAGAAGTGGAGGAACGTGCGCTTGACGGTGACCTTCAGCTGCGACGGCAGCTCCCGCCCACGGAGCGCGGCCACTTCCCGCAGGCGTGGGGCCGGGATGGCGGTCACCGAGCGGCCGTCGAGGGCCCACGGGGCCAGGCACGGTGCGCACGGCTGCCGCTCGCGCGGCCCGGCCCTCATCGGCGGGCCGCGCTCCCGCGGCGCGCGCTCCTCCTCGAGGTCGCGCCGCGGGCCGTGCTCGTTGTGCTCCGCCTCGCTGCGCCTCCAGGGCAGAATCTGGCCTGGGGCGTGGGCGAACTTGCAGGCGTCGCCCTGCCTGCATTTCCCGGTCCTCACAAAGCTCTGGCACGGCTGAGTGTACGAGAAGTCCGGAGCTGTGCGCAAGTCGCCACTCCCGTGCGCAAAGCTGCAGTCTCCCTCCCGGGCGCAGTACCCGTTCGCATAGTAAGTGCACAAACGCGTCTTGTGCAAGAAGCGAGCCGTCATGACAACATTGCCTTTGCGGGAAACAGCGGGCGCCATGCTGGGAGTATGCGAGCGGTCTGGATGCCAATGCTGCAGGTTCTGGCTGGCAGTCTGCTTGGCAATGCGCTTGAGCAAAAATTGCTACAGAGAAGGAAGATGACACCGACTCTTTCTCTTCCACCTTCTCCACCTTCTAATCAGCGTCCGTCGTGGGGCTCTCGCGCGGCCATCTTTGGGCTGCGTGTGGGCCCTATGGGTTCCACTTGGGTCCTCTCGGGGCCCTCTTGTGGCGTCGTCGGGCAGTGTTGGAGCCATTGCGCACTATCGCACTTCGTGCTCTTGCGACCACATCGGTCGCAAAGCTTCCAGTGTACGTAGACAAACGCGTTCCACTACTCGCAAAATAACTACTCGCAAATCGACTGGATCCGCAGCGGGGAATTTACGATCCATTACAATGAGGCGAACATGTGT